CCGAGACCCACAGACTCATCACACAGAGACCCACAGACTCATCACACAGAGACCCATAAACTCATCACACAGAGACCCATAGACTCACACAGAGACCCACAGACTCATCAGAGAGACCCACAGACTCATCACACAGAGACCCGTGTTAAAGCGTGCTTCTTTGTACTCACAAAGATCCCCCGTGTAGCCTTCACAGACTGTAGGGGAAAGTGCTGTTCGCGACTATCAGCGCCTATGAAGGATGCCGGCGCTGTGGCACACGAGGGGGTGGGTGGCCAGCACCACGCCCGGCCGCCTTTGTCTCTCCCCCAGTGGCAACGTTTACACATCCATCGCACCTGGTGCTCGTTTGAGGCCGAGTCGACCTAGGGGAGACCCCAGGACCGGTTCAGATGATCGCTACGACCGGTAGTAGCTGGTGGTGGCGGTGAGCAGGAATCGAACTGGGGTCTTAGCAGTACGAAGCACAGCGCTAACCGCTGCGCCACCGCTCCCCATCGCAGTGACAGCCACAAACTGGAGGTGCAGATTCACGAGCCACAAACGCCCACCCCTCCCTGCCGTGCACGCAGGGAGGGGTGTGTGTGTCGGTGTGTGTGTGTGTCTGTGTGTGTGTCTATGTGTGTCTATGTGTGTGTGTCTGTGTGTCTATGTGTGTGTGTGTCTATGTGTGTGTGACACTCCACCCCCACAACTCCCAATCGGTGATGGGGCAGTTGTGGAGAGAGTGGAGAGTTTCCCATACCTGGGCAGTGTGCTTATGACCGGCTCCAGTTTAACAGCAGAGGTCTCACTCCGAATCAGTCGAGCGGCAATATCTTTTCATTGGTTGCGTAACGCTGTGTGGAAGCTACCTGGTCTGTCGCTCCGCACTAAGCTTCGGGTCTTCTCGGCCACGGTCATTCCCTCCCTTCTCTACCCTTGCGAAACGTGGACCCCCCCCTAATGGAACATCTTCGCCAGTTAGAAACATTTAGGCTGGCCTGCCTATGATCCATCCTGGGTTTAACCAGACTGGATTGTGTGAGGAGCTCACAAATCCTTGAAAGATCTGGGCAAGGTCCCATCGGTGAACTCCTCCAGCGGGCAAGGCTGCGATGGCTGGGTCATGTAGCCCGCATGCCCAGCCACCGCATGCCGAAACAGCTTTTGTTCGGCCGGATTGAGGGGGCTAAACGGGCGCAGCACGGGCTAGAGAAGAGATGGAATGATGTGGTACAGGAGGACGTGGAGCTGAGTGGACTTGCCGATGACTGGTACCAGCGGTGTCAAGATCGGCCTCTGTGGAGGAGGCTCGTTAAGGACACTACTGGGCAGTTGGAGGTAGTCGCCCTCCAACAACAACGGAGGGCGGAGGAGCGACGCTCACAACAACGAGCGGAGCGCCGGGTGGCTAAAGCACAGCAGGTTGGCACAGTAGGGGGCACAGGTGGTGCATCAGCCAGTCATCTCAGTCAGTCGACCCGTGGCACCTGGGTCTGCCCCGTGACCTCCTGCCAGCGGGCATTCGACACTTCACGTGGCCTCAGGGTGCACATAGCCTATAGCTAGCACAAGCGTCGTGGTGACGTCACCGCCACTTAGTGGTGAATGGCGGTTGTTGTTGTTGTTGTGTGTGTGTGTGTCTATGTGTGTGTGTGTCTATGTGTGTGTGTGTGTCCGTGTGCGCGTGTGTGCGTGTGTCTGTGTGTGCGTGTTTGTGCATCCGTGTGTGTGCATCCGTGTGTGTGCATCCGTGTGTGTGTGTGCATCTGTGTTTGTGTGCATTTGTGTGTGTGCGTGTGTGTGTCTGTGTGTGTGTGTGTGCATCCGTGTGTTTGTGTGTGTGCATCCGCGTGTGTGCATGTGTGCATGCGTGTGTGCATCCGTGTGTGTGCGTGTGTGCGTCCGTGTGTGTGCGTATGTGCATCCGTGTGTGTGCATCCGTGTGTGTGCATCCGTGTGTGTGCATCCGTGTGTGTGCGTCCGCGTGTGTGCGTCCGCGTGTGTGCATCCGCGTGTGTGCATCCGTGTGTGTGTGTGCATGACTGAGTGAGCTAGTGAGTGACTGAGTGAGCTAGTGAGTGACTGAGTGAGCTAGTGACTGAGTGAGCTAGCGAGTGACTGAGTGAGCTAGCGGGTGACTGAGCTACCCAGTGACTGAGTGAGCTAGCTAGTGACTGAGTGAGCTAGCGAGTGACTGAGTGAGCTAGCGAGTGACTGAGTGAGCTAGCGAGTGACTGAGCTAGCGAGTGACTGAGCTAGCTAGTGACTGAGCGAGTGACTGAGTGAGCGAGTGACTGAGTGAGCGAGTGACTGAGTGAGCTAGTGAGTGACTGAGTGAGCTAGCGAGTGACTGAGCTAGCTAGTGACTGAGCGAGTGACTGAGTGAGCGAGTGACTGAGTGAGCGAGTGACTGAGTGAGCGTGTGAGTGAGTGAGCTAGCGAGTGACTGAGTGAGCTAGCAAGTGACTGAGCTTGCTAGTGACTGAGTGAGCTAGCGAGTGACTGAGTGAGTTAGCAAGTGACTGAGTGAGCTAGCGAGTGACTGAGTGAGTTAGCAAGTGACTGAGTGAGCTAGCGAGTGACTGACTGAGTGAGCTAGCGAGTGACTGAGTGAGCTAGCGAGTGACTGAGTGAGCTAGTGACTGAGTGAGCTAGCGAGTGACTGAGTGAGCTAGCGAGTGACTGAGTGAGCTAGCGAGTGACTGAGTGAGCTGGCGAGTGACTGAGTGAGCGAGTGACTGAGTGAGCGAGTGACTGAGTGATCTGGCGAGTGACTGAGTGAGCTAGCTAGTGACTGAGTAAGCTAGTGACTGAGAGAGCTGGCGAGTGACTGAGTGAGCTAGCGAGTGACTGAGTGAGCTAGCGAGTGACTGAGCTAGCTAGTGACTGAGTGAGCTAGCGAGTGACTGAGTGAGCTAGTGACTGAGTGAGCTAGTGACTGAGTGAGCTAGCGAGTGACTGAGTGAGCTAGCGGGTGACTGAGCTAGCTAGTGACTGAGTGAGCTAGCTAGTGACTGAGTGAGCTAGCGAGTGACTGAGTGAGCTAGTGACTGAGTGAGCTAGCGAGTGACTGAGTGAGCTAGCGAGTGACTGAGCTAGCGAGTGACTGAGTGAGCGAGTGACTGAGTGAGCTAGCGACTGAGCGAGCTAGTGACTGAGTGAGCTAGCGAGTGACTGAGTGAGCTAGCGAGTAACTGAGTGAGCTAGCGACTGAGTGAGCTAGCGAGTAACTGAGTGAGCTAGCGAGTGACTGAGTGAGCTAGCGAGTGACTGAGTGAGCTAACGAGTGACTGAGTGAGCTAGCGACTGAGTGAGCTAGCGAGTGACTGAGTGAGCTAGCGAGTGACTGAGTGAGCGAGTGACTGAGTGAGCTAGCGAGTGACTGAGTGAGCTAGCGAGTGACTGAGTGAGCTAGCGAGCGACTGAGTGAGCTAGCGAGTGAATGAGTGAGCTAGTGACTGAGTGAGCTAGCGAGTGACTGAGTGAGCTAGCGAGTGACTGAGTGAGCTAATGACTCAGTGAGTTAGCGAGTGACTGAGTGAGCTAGCGAGTGACTGAGTGAACTAGCGAGTGACTGAGTGAGTGAGCGAGTGACTGAGTGAGCAAGTGACTGAGCGAGCTAGTGACTGAGTGAGCTAGTGACTGAGTGAGCTAGCGAGTAAATGAGTGAGCGAGTGACTAAGCTAGCTAGTGACTGAGTGAGCTAGCAAGTGACTGAGTGAGCTAGCGAGTGACTGAGTGAACTAGCTAGTGACTGAGTGAGTGAGCTAGCGAGTGACTGAGTGAGCTAGCGAGTGAGTCAGCTAGCGAGTCACTGAGTGAGCTAGCGAGTAACTGAGTGAGTTAGCGAGTGAGTGAGCTAGCGAGTGACTGAGTGGGCTAGTGAGTGACTGAGTGAGCGAGTGACTGAGTGAGCTAGTGACTGAGCGAGCTAGTGACTGAGTGAGCTAGTGACTGAGTGAGCGAGTGACTGAGTGAGCTAGCGAGTGACTGAGTGAGCTAGTGACTGAGTGAGCTAGTGACTGAGTGAGCTAGCGAGTGACTGAGTGAGATAGCGAGTGACTGAGTGAGCTAGCGAGTGAGTGAGCTAGCGAGTGACTGAGTGAGCGAGTGACTGAGTGAGCTAGCGAGTGACTGAGTGAGCTAGTGACTGAGTGAGCTAGCGAGTGACTGAGTGAGCTAGTGACTGAGTGAGCTAGCGAGTGACTGAGTGAGCCAGCGAGTGACTGAGTGAGCTAGCGAGTGACTGAGTGAGCTAGTGACTGAGTGAGCGAGTGACTGATTGAGCTAGCGAGTGACTGAGTGAGCTAGCGAGTGACTGAGTGAGCTACCGAGTGACTGAGCGAGCTAGCTAGCGAGTGACTGAGTGAGCTATGGACTGAGTGAGCTAGCGAGTGACTGAGTGAGCTAGTGAGTGAGTGAGCTAGCGAGTGACTGAGTGAGCTAGCGAGTGACTGAGTGAGCCAGCGAGTGACTGAGTGAGCTAGCGAGTGACTGAGTGAGCTAGTGACTGAGTAAGCTAGTGACTGAGTGAGCAAGCGAGTGACTGAGTGAGCTAGTGACTGAGTGAGCGAGTGACTGAGCGAGCTAGCGAGTGACTGAGCGAGCTAGCGAGTGACTGAGCGAGCTACCGAGTGACTGAGCGAGCTAGCGAGTGACTGAGTGAGCTAGTGACTGAGTGAGCTAGTGACTGAGTGAGCTAGTGACTGAGTGAGCTAGTGACTGAGTGAGCTAGTGACTGAGTGAGCTAGCGAGTGACTGAGTGAGCTAGCGAGTGACTGAGTGAGCTAGCGAGTGACTGAGTGAGCGAGTGACTGAGCGAGCTAGCGAGTGACTGAGCGAGCTAGCGAGTGACTGAGTGAGCTAGCGAGTGACTGAGTGAGCTAGCGAGTGACTGAGTGAGCGAGTGACTGAGCGAGCTAGCGAGTGACTGAGCGAGCTAGCGAGTGACTGAGCGAGCTAGCTAGCGAGTGACTGAGTGAGCTAGCGAGTGACTGAGCGAGCTAGCGAGTGACTGAGCGAGCTAGCTAGCGAGTGACTGAGTGAGCTAGCGAGTGACTGAGTGAGCTAGTGAGTGACTGAGTGAGCCAGCGAGTGACTGAGTGAGCCAGCGAGTGACCGGATCAGTGGCCCAGCGAGTGAACGGGTGGTGTGGGTGGTGTGGGTGGTGTGGGTGGTGTGGGTGGAGTGGGGGTCCCCCCCCCCTTCCCCTCGGCTACGTGGCCTCAGCGGGTGACGTGGGCCGCTTGAGGTCACGGATCTGTTTCCCCAGGTAGGCCTTTTCGTCACGGAACTGTTCGTCCTCGGTGCGGTCCACCTGGAAGGCGGCGAGGAACTCCACCAACTTGGCCTGGTTCTTGAGGAGGATGTCCAGGATGGGCGGCGCTTTGTTGGGGTTCGCCACGAACACCTGGGGCGGACGGGCGGACGGTCGGACGAAGAGACGGAGGAAGAGACGGAGGAAGAGACGGAGGAAGAGACAGACGAAGAGACGGAGGTAGAGACAGACGAAGAGACGGAGGTAGAGACAGAGGAAGAGACAGACGAAGAGACAGAGGAAGAGACAGACGTAGAGACAGACGTAGAGACAGATGTAGAGACAGAGGAAGAGACAGAGGAAGAGACAGACGAAGAGACAGACGTAGAGACAGAGGAAGAGACAGACGAAGAGACAGACGTAGAGACAGAGGAAGAGACAGACGAAGAGACAGAGGAAGAGACAGAGGAGGAGACAGACGTAGAGACAGACGTAGAGACAGACAAAGAGACGGAGGAAGAGACAGACCTAGAGACAGACCTAGAGACAGACCTAGAGACAGAGGAAGAGACAGAGGAAGAGACAGACCTAGAGACAGACGAAGAGACAGACGTAGAGACAGATGTAGAGACAGAGGAAGAGACAGAGGAGGAGACAGACGAAGAGACAGACGTAGAGACAGACGAAGAGACAGACGTAGAGACAGACGTAGAGACAGAGGAAGAGACAGACGTAGAGACAGACGTAGAGACGGACGTAGAGACAGACGTAGAGACAGATGTAGAGACAGAGGAAGAGACAGAGGAGGAGACAGACGAAGAGACAGATGTAGAGACAGAGGAAGAGACAGACGTAGAGACAGACGAAGAGACAGACGTAGAGACAGACGTAGAGACAGAGGAAGAGACAGACGTAGAGACAGACGAAGAGACAGACGTAGAGACAGACGTAGAGACAGAGGAAGAGACAGACGTAGAGACAGACGAAGAGACGGAGGGAAGAGACGGAGGAAGAGACGGAGGAAGGTGTCCCAACCCCCCCCACTTCCGGCCACCCCCCCCCCCAACGCAGTTCCAGGGCGAGCGCCGTGAGGCAGCGGCGCCGACGAAAGCTGCCGGCACCGTGGCACACGAGGAGGAGGGGGAGGGGTGGGGGGGTGGGGGGGTGGGGGTTGACCAGCACCACACCCCACTCACACCCTCACACTCACACCCACACACTCACCCCACTCACCCACAAACATAGACAAAGATCCCCCGTGTAGCCTCTCACAGGCTGTAGGGGCAAGTGCTGTTAGCGAGTAGCAGCAGCAGCACCTATACACAGACAAAGATCCCCCGTGTAGCCTCTAACAGGCTGTAGGGGCAAGTGCTGTTAGCGAGTAGCAGCAGCACCTATACACAGACAAAGATCCCCCGTGTAGCCTCTAACAGACTGTAGGGGCAAGTGCTGCTAGCGAGCAGCACCTAAGAAGGCCGGAATGGCACACGAGGGGGTGGTTGGTCAGCATCACGCCCGGCCGCCTTTGTCTCCCCAGTGGCGATGTTTACTACACACACAGCTCCAGGTACTCATTTGAGGCCGAGTCGACCTAGGGGTGTCCCGGGACCGGTTCAGAGAATCGTCACCGCCGTGAGCGGGACGCGAACTCTTGATGCCGGTAGCCCAGCGTAGCGCTAACAGCCACATCACCCACACACACGCACAGCCACGCGTGAATGCGTGCGGATGTGAGTGTGTGCACGTGTGTGTGTGTGTGCACGTGTGTGTGTGTGTGCACGTGTGTGTGTGTGTGCACGTGTGTGCGAGTGCGTGCGTGTGTGAGTGCGTGAGTGTGCGTGAGCACGTGCGTGAGTGTGTGTGCGCGTGACGTGTGTGTGCGTGCATGTGAGTGCGTGCGTGACGTGTGTGTGAGTGACGTTTGCGTGCGTGTGTGTGTGCGTGTGTGTCTGTGTGTGCGTGTGTGCGTGAAGTGTGTGTGTGCGCGTGTGTGCGTGTGTCTGTGCGTGTGTCACCTTGAACACGTGGAAGGCCTCGAACTGGATGTTGCGGCTGCTGTCTCTGAGCAGGTTCATCATGAGCTTGAGGTGCTCCGGCTGGCTGATGTAGCGCGTCATCACCGCAAAGTTGTGACGCTCCAGGAGCAGCTCACCCAGCAACTAGCACAGCAAGCGGGACGCATCGCCACCGTCACATCCACCGTCACATCCACCGTCACCACCACAGCCATCACCTCCACAACCACCACCACCACCGTCACCGTCACCACCACCACCACCGTCACATCCACCGTCACCACCACAGCCATCACCTCCACCACCACAGCCATCACCATCACCACCGTCACCACCGTCACCACCACCACCACAGCCATCACCACCACCACCGTCACCACCACCACCACCGTCACCACCACCACCGTCACCACCACCGTCACATCCACCGTCACCACCACAGCCATCACCACCATCACCACCGTCACCACCACCGTCACATCCACCGTCACCACCACAGCCATCACCTCCACCTCCACAGCCATCACCATCACCACCATCACCACCGTCACATCCACCATCACCACCGCCGCCATCACCAGCATCACCACCACCGTCACCACCACAACCGCCACCATCCCCACCGCCACCACCGCCACCATCATCACCACCACCACCATCACCACTGCCATCACCACCACCATCATCATCATCACTGCCATCATCACCGCCACCGTCATCATCATCACCACTGCCATCACCACCACCATCATCATCACCACTGCCACCACCACCACCATCACCACTGCCATCACCACCACCACGCCGTGGCATCGACACTGGCATCATTGTCTTCGCCGTCGTCATCATCATCATCGTCGTCATCATCATCACGGTGGCTAGGAGATGTTAACTACCTCGCCTGGTACGCAGGAGGTCGTGTGTTCGATCCCGACCCTGACGATGCCTGCTGCTGCTGCTGTATATTTGGAGTCTGCGTCTCTCTCCCCGTGGATTTGTCTCCGGCTCCTCCGCCTTTCCCCCCCCCTCCACGTTTAGAATCGACGTCACCACGGCGTTCAGAGAGTCTGGCTGCTGCCGTGAATGTCCACGTGATGATGATGGTGGTGACGATGGTGATGACGACGATGATGATGACGACGACGATGACGACAATGACGACAATGACGACATCAGCCAATCTCGCCGAACAGCTATCATCTGCGACAGGCCTGGTGCGGTCCGCTGCTCAAAAATAAACTTGGTGGGGCCTGACAGCTGGTGACCATAAATTACTTCACTTCTGTGGCTTAACACGCAACGTACACACGCAGGCAGGCATCACACATACACGCATCACGGATACATGCAGCATACACGCGGGCATCATGCACACGTACAGCACACTTAGAGCATGCACGCAACATACTTGCAGATGACGACGATGAGACACTCACAGAGAGACACTCACACAGAGACACTCACAGAGAGACACTCACAGAGAGACAGAGACACTCACAGAGAGACACACACACAGAGACACACACAGACACACACACACAGAAACACACACAGACACACACACACAGAGACACTCACAGAGACACTCACAGAGAGACACACACAGAGACACACACAGAGACACTCACAGAGAGACACTCACAGAGAGACACTCACAGAGAGACACTCACAGAGAGACACACACAGACAGACACTCACAGAGACACACTCACAGAGACACTCACAGAGAGACACTCACAGAGACACAGAGAGACACACACACAGAGAGACACACACACAGAGAGACACACACACAGAGAGACACACACACAGAGACACTCACAGAGAGACACTCACAGAGAGACACACACAGAGAGACACTCACAGAGAGAGACACACACAGAGAGAGACACACAGAGAGAGAGACACACACAGAGAGAGACACACACAGAGAGAGACACACACAGAGAGAGACACACACAGAGAGAGACACACACAGAGAGAGACACACACAGAGAGAGACACTCACAGAGAGACACAGAGAGACACACACAGAGAGACACTCACAGAGAGACACTCACAGAGAGACACTCACAGAGAGACACTCGCAGAGACACTCGCAGAGACACACACAGAGAGACACTCACAGAGAGACACTCACAGAGAGACACTCACAGAGAGACACTCACAGAGACACACTCACAGAGACACACACAGAGACACTCACAGAGAGACACACACAGAGAGACACTCACAGAGACACACGCACAGAGACACTCACAGAGAGACACTCACAGAGACACAGAGAGACACACACACAGAGAGACACACACACAGAGAGACACACACACAGAGAGACACACACACAGAGACACTCACAGAGAGACACTCACAAAGAGACACTCACAGAGAGACACTCACAGAGAGAGACACACAGAGAGAGACACACAGAGAGAGAGACACACACAGAGAGAGACACACACAGAGAGAGACACACACAGAGAGACACTCACAGAGAGACATTCACAGAGAGACACAGAGAGACACACACAGAGAGACACTCACAGAGAGACACTCACAGAGAGACACTCACAGAGAGACACTCGCAGAGACACTCGCAGAGACACTCACAGAGAGACACTCACAGAGAGACACTCACAGAGAGACACTCACAGAGAGACACTCACAGAGAGACACTCATAGAGACACTCACAGAGAGACACACACAGAGAGACACTCACATAGACACACTCACAGAGACACTCACAGATAGACACTCACAGAGAGACACTCGCAGAGACACAGAGAGACACACACACAGAGAGACACACACACAGAGAGACACTCACAGAGAGACACTCACAGAGAGACACTCACAGAGAGACACTCACAGAGAGACACTCACAGAGACACACACAGAGAGACACTCACAGAGAGACACACACAGAGAGACACACACAGAGAGACACACACAGAGAGACACTCACAGAGAGACACAGAGAGACACTCACAGAGAGACACACACAGAGAGACACTCACAGAGAGACACACACAGAGAGACACTCACAGAGAGACACGCACAGAGAGACACTCGCAGAGACACACTCACAGAGAGACACACACAGAGAGACACACTCACAGAGACACACACAGAGAGACACACACAGAGAGACACACAGAGAGACACACAGAGAGACACACACAGAGAGACACTCACAGAGAGACACTCACAGAGAGACACACACAGAGAGACACTCACAGAGAGACACTCACAGAGAGACACCCACAGAGAGACACACGCAGAGACACACGCAGAGAGACACTCACAGAGACACACAGAGACACTCACAGAGAGACACTCACAGAGAGACACTCACAGAGACACTCACAGAGAGACACACACAGAGAGACACACACAGAGAGACACTCACAGAGAGACACACACAGAGAGACACTCACAGAGAGACACTCACAGAGAGACACTCACAGAGAGACACTCACAGAGAGACACTCACAGAGAGACACTCACAGAGACACTCAGAGAGACACACACAGAGAGACACACACAGAGAGACACACACAGACAGACTCACAGAGACACTCACAGAGAGACAGACACAGAGACACTCACAGAGAGACACTCACAGAGACACTCACAAAGACACTCACAGAGACACTCACAGAGACACTCACAAAGACACTCACAGAGACACTCACAGAGAGACACTCACACAGAGACACTCACAGAGAGACACAGAGAGACACTCACAGAGAGACACACACAGAGAGACACTCACAGAGAGACACTCACAGAGAGACACTCGCAGAGACACACACAGAGAGACACTCACAGAGAGACACTCACAGAGAGACACTCACAGAGAGACACTCACAGAGAGACACTCACAGAGAGACACACACAGAGAGACACACACACAGAGAGACACTCACAGAGAGACACAGAGAGACACTCACAGAGAGACACACACAGAGAGACACTCACAGAGAGACACACACAGAGAGACACTCACAGAGAGACACGCACAGACAGACATTCACAGAGACACTCACAGAGAGACACTCGCAGAGACATACGCAGAGACACACGCAGAGAGATACTCACAGAGACACTCACAGAGACACTCACACAGAGACACACACAGAGAGACACTCACAGAGAGACACACACAGAGAGACACACACAGAGAGACACTCACAGAGAGACACACACAGAGAGACACTCACAGAGAGACACTCACAGAGACACTCACAGAGAGACACTCACAGAGAGACACACGCAGAGACACATGCAGAGAGACACTCACAGAGACACACAGAGACCCTCACAGAGAGACACTCACAGAGAGACACTCACAGAGAGACACACACAGAGAGACACTCACAGAGAGACACTCACAGAGAGACACTCACAGAGAGACACTCACAGAGAGACACACACAGAGAGACACACACATAGAGACACACACAGAGAGACACTCACAGAGAGACACTCACAGAGACACTCACAGAGACACACACAGAGAGACACTCACAGAGACACACACAGAGAGACACTCACAGAGACACTCACAGAGACACTCACAGAGACACACACAGAGATACACTCACAGAGACACTCAGAGAGACACTCACAGAGAGACACTCACAGAGACACTCACAGAGACACACTCACAGAGACACACACAGAGAGACACACACAGACAGACTCACAGAGACACTCACAGAGAGACAGACACAGAGACACTCACAGAGAGACACTCACAGAGAGACACTCACAGAGACACTCACACAGAGACACTCACAGAGAGACACTCACAGAGAGACACTCACACAGAGACACTCACAGAGACACACACAGAGAGACACACACAGAGAGACACACACAGAGAGACACACACAGAGAGACACACACACAGAGACACACACAGAGAGACACACACAGAGAGACACTCACAGAGAGACACTCACAGAGAGACACTCACAGAGACACACACAGAGAGACACTCACAGAGACACTCACAGAGACACACGCAGAGAGACACTCACAGAGACACACGCAGAGAGACACTCACAGAGACACTCAGAGAGACACTCACAGAGAGACACTCACACAGAGACACTCACACAGAGACACTCACAGAGAC